GCAAGAACTACATTGAGGTCTTCCAGGATATCTCGTCCTATGAGATTTGTGGCTATATCTGCAATCGGGGGTCTTATTGTGCCAACCTCTCCATCAGGATCCTCCCATTTATAGAAGTTTTTAGTGATGAATGCTTGGGAGGCTCCCTCTACTCCCATTAGTTGGGGTCCTGGTATTAATTCCCAGTGTGGGGGAACTTTAGATCGCCTTAAGATGGTTTTATCAGCCCCAGTGTCAAGGAGGCATTTGAAAGGTTTATTGTCTATTTTTATGGTTAATTTTGGATGGGCATTTTCTGTAATACTGGTTACCCATAATGTTTGTGGCTTCTCTCTTGTTAGCGGGGCTGAGGGCTGCCCCGGAAGGAGCTTAAAGGTGGCAGAGCTGTAATACTGGTTACCCATAATGTTTGTGGCTTCCCTCTTGTTAGCGGGGCTGAGGGCTGCCCCGGAAGGAGTTTAAAGGTGGCAGAGGTTTGCCGTCTCTGTCATTTTTAGATTTACAATCCTTTTTCCAGTGAAAGCCCTTTTTACAGCGAGGACAGAGGGTTTTAGGGGGTCGAGTGGCAGCTGAGTCATTTTGGGGGCAATTTTTTTTCCAGTGTCCAGTTTTTCCACATTTAAAGCATTTTGAGTTGGATTGGGTTGTGGCTACAAGGGCTTGGGCAAGGGAGGAGGCCTGGTACATGGAAGTCCCAATGTCATGGGTGGCCACAATCCATTTGTCATAATGTTCATTTTTTAGTCCCTGGCATGCTTGTCTGTGTTCAGGGGTCATCCCTTCCCAGACAAGGCTGTTTAAAAGCATTGCTTTGGCTGCAGGATCTGTTATTTTTCTATCTAAACTGGGTCCAGCTTAAAGGTGGCAGATCCCTGGGAACCCCCCTTGGTCATAGGCATGGCTGCTTTAGAAAGGGCAAGTTCAGGGTAAGGGGGGGATCTGCACCAGGAGGAGGCAAGTGGGAAGGTGTGGGTGCAGGTGCAAGCTGACTCAGTGGCTCAGCCTCAGGGCCTGCTCCTGCTGGGCTGGAATGAGACCCCACCCACCTGCCTGGAGGCCCCACCTCCTGATGCCCTAAGAAGCCCAGGAGAGGAGGAGAGGAAGGAGGGACTTGGGGAGGGTGTCCTGAGCTTTATTGGTATTGCCCAGTCATAGAAAGGACAACTAATGTCCCAGATTTCTTTTTCCTTTTGAGATAGTCTCTTATAGCCCAGGCTGGCCTCTAAATCCTATGTTGCTGAGGACGATCTTGAACTTCGGATCCTCCTGGTCTACCTCCTGAGTGCCTGCAGGATATGCTACCACACCAGTTTTATGCAGTGCTGCTTTGAGCATGCTAGGCCATATCCCAGTGCTGGTGATTTTAATGACGGGTGTTCAACTGTTTGTTAAGTATTCTCCTAAGGGACACTCTCTGGTTTTTCTGTTTTCTCAGTTCTGTAAAATAACTAAGGCTTCTGGCAGTAAAGGAGTCTGGCTGAGGTCACAAGCTAACAATGCATTGAGACAAGACTTCAGCCAAGTCTCTCAGGGTTTTATAGTTCAAATATATTTCTGCCTCCAAGAAACCTACACATATGCCCATCTTGGGGCAGCATCCCACATCCCTCTGACCCGCAGTTGCTCTCACACCGCAGTTGCTCTCACACAGGACGAAGTAGGAAACCACCTAGCTTCACCTACCTGCTTGGAGCTTTCTGGCAGCTCCAGGGAAGAACAGGGGCTTCTTAGGGTTTGTATGGATTGTATGGTTCCTGGGAGTGTATTCCTGGGCAGGCCATGGGGCAGGGACAGGGTGTGACTTGCTTAAGGTCACATATGCCATTCAGATTAAAACTGTGAAGCCACTGAAGGCCCCAGAGCTGGGATGCCACTCTGTCATTATCTCTGCTCAGCACAGAGTAGCGAGCCAAACTTCCCTCTTTCCACAAATTACAGCATTTGAGTCAAGCCATACCACTCTCCCGACCATCATCTCCTCCTCAAAAAACATTTACTGAGGTCTTACCAAACACCTCACTGCTAACCAGAAGACTCGACAGAGACTCTGCCAGCCCCTCCCTTAGAAAGCTTTCTGAGGTCTCATGTGGAATTTTGAATTTGTGATTGTGTGTTATATGTACGTGTCCATGTTTGTGTGGACACAGGTGTGCAGGCATGTGTACATACAGAGGTCAGAAGTGATGTGGGGTCTTCCTCAGTTGTTCACCTTGTTTTTTGTTTTTTGAGACAGAGTCTCTCCCTGAATCTAGAGCTCACCGAATCTGCCCAGCAGCTCCAGGTGCCACCTGTCTCTGTATTCTAAGCATGGTCATTTTAAGTACCTATGCAGCTGTCCCCAGCTTGTTACGTGTGTTCTAGGGATCAACCCAGGCTCTCATGCTTACCCAGCAAGTACTTTACCAATGGAGTCATTGCCTCTAAAGGAGTCCTCTCTCCAGCTTCTGGGTTTTGTTTTCTCCCAAATTCCCCTAAAGAGCCCTACCATGAATTGATAGGACGGAATGGTTCAGTGGGTGAGAACTCCTGCTTCCAAGCCTGACAACCTAAGTTTGATCTTTGGGACCCACATCGTGGAAGGAAAGAACTGAGTCCTACAAGTTGTCTTCTGACTTCCACATGCTCCACCCTACACATAAATAAATAAATAAATAAATAAATAAATAAATTAATTAATTAATTTAAAATAATTTAAAACAACTCCACCTTTAGGCAAAGGCAGGCAGATCTCTGTGATATTGAGGCCAGCCTGGTGTACATTGTGAGTTCCAGGCAGGCCAGCTGGGGCTTCAGGGAGATCCTGTCTCAAAAAGACTATATCTGAGAGGCTCCCCCCCCTTACTGCTTCTCCCTTTCTCCCCCGTCTACTTCTCTGGGGAGCTTCTTACTCCGCTTTTACAGATATGGGAACTGGAAGACAAAGAACAGTTTGCCAAAGGTCATAACCCACTGTACCAGCCAGTCTCATGCCTGTCTGCTGCCTGCAGCTTTGATCACCACGAAGCCCCTGGGTTTAAACGCTGGGACGGCTCTGCCCTTCCGGTTCTTGTCCCGAGTCCACTGTGACACTGGCTGTGGTTTCTTCCCTTGTCTGGCACTGTGACACAGGGCTATTCCTGGCCTGTGGAGTAGCAGGCTGTCTTCTGAGACCTGCAATTGAAATTCTAGGGTTTGAGTCTAATCTTAGATTTCATCTCACTGATAGAACTGGGTGCCCTCCAGGCAGTGAGATCCCTAAAGTCAGGAGCTTAAGAGGTTTGGAGAGGAAATCAATCATTTTTTATTCCTCTCCAGGTTGATAGAGAAGAACCTAGAGTCAATCTTCAAACTTTTGGACAGGGGTGACCACAATCTGTGTTTGGCTGGGGCCCTTTCTGGGCAAGAGTAGCCTTGTTGGGAGGGGTGGAGCTACAGACTGCCAACCTGAGGTACCACTAGCCATGCCAGGAGGTTTCTCCCAAAGAGTGGGGATGCCAATGGAAGCCACCTGGAGTCGGGTACCTGGAGAGCTGGGTTCCACTGGCTCCACGGCCCTCCCTCTCTGAGCCTCGTTTTCTCTTTCTGTAGTGGATTAGACTGCAAGGCCTGAGGGACCTGCGGGGAAGAAGGGGGTGCTCTGTGAAGCTGGGCTGTAGGCCTAGTTCTTTGTGGAGCACGTGCACCCTGTATGAGAATAGTGTGCTCACCCTCTGTAGAGGGTGCTGGGGGACAAACAGAACTTGGTCACATTAAAAAAAAAAGTGTATGTATCCAGGAATGTGCCATGGCACACATGTGTAGGTCAGAGGACAACTTGTGTGAGTCAGTTCCTTCCTTCCACCATGGAAGTTCTGGGGAGCAAACTCACATCTTCAGGCTTGCTGGCAGGGCCTTTACCCTCTGAGCCATCATCTTGCTGGCCCCAAATGCAACTTAAATAATGGTATTTGAAGGTTAGAGAGCCCTGGTCCTTTCGTTCTTGTGTGGGTGTTTAAAACTTGGGGTGTGGGATGTACTGAATATTCAGGTGAGCTATTAAGGAACTCAGGGATAGAGGCCTGAAGGGGCTTGGGATCTGGGCTGTGTCTATCAGTTCATCAGGAAGTTCTAAACATGGCCACATGTGAGTTCCACTGTTCTGCAGGCAAGAGGCATCACTTTCCCTTTTAAAACTGACAGGCTTGTACATCTTCACGTGCGAAGTGTGGGGCGTTGGGACGTTGGTAAAGTGCGTATTGATTAACTCAGGGTATTTAGATTATTCCTCATTTCAAACGTGTTATTTCTTTGTGACAAGACATTGCTGTTTCAACATGACTGAGCACAAACCACCTTCTGTGTAACAGATCCAGAGTGTGTTCTGTCTGACTGGAGGAACTTTGACACCTGTCAAGCACTCTCTCCTTGTCCCCTCTCCCCTCACTTCCATCAACTTCTATTCTGATCTCTATGAGCTCAGCTTTTTAAAGATCCCACAGATGTGTGAAACTGTGCGGTATTTATCTTTCTGCGTCTGACTTCTTTTACTTAGACTTAGATCTTGTTACAAATCAAAAGATTTTATCCCTT